AGAAGAAGAAGAAGAAGAAGAAGAAGAGGAAACAGATAAAGAAGGAGAAGAAACAGACGGAAGAAGAAGAAGGAGAAGAAACAGAAAGAAGAAGAAGACGAAGAAACAGAAGGAAGAAGAAGAAGAAACAGAAAAAAGAAGAAGAAGAAGAAGAAGAAGAAGAAGAAGAAGAAGAAGAAGAAGAAGAAGAAGAAGAAACAGAAAAAAGAAGAAGAAGAAGAAGAAGAAGAAGAAGAAGAAGAAGAAGAAGAAGGAAGAAGAAGAAGAAGAAACAGAAAGAAGAAGAAGACGAAGAAACAGAAAGAATAGTAATAATAAGAAGAAGAAGAAGAAGAAGAAGAAGAAGAAGAAGAAGAAGAAGAAGAAGAAGAAGAAGAAGAAGAAGAAGAAGAAGAAGAAGAAGAAGAAGAAGAAGAAGAAGAAGAAGAAGAAGAAGAAGAAGAAGAAGAAGAAGAAGAAGAAGAAGAAGAAGAAGAAGAAGAAGAAGAAGAAGAAGAAGAAGAAGAAGAAGAAGAAGAAGAAGAAGAAGAAGAAGAAGAAGAAGAAGAAGAAGAAGAAGAAGAAGAAGAAGAAGAAGAAGAAGAAGAAGAAGAAGAAGAAGAAGAAGAAGAAGAAGAAGAAGAAGAAGAAGAAGAAGAAGAAGAAGAAGAAGAAGAAGAAGAAGAAGAAGAAGAAGAAGAAGAAGAAGAAGAAGAAGAAGAAGAAGAAGAAGAAGAAGAAGAAGAAGAAGAAGAAGAAGAAGAAGAAGAAGAAGAAGAAGAAGAAGAAGAAGAAGAAGAAGAAGAAGAAGAAGAAGAAGGAAGAAGAAGAAGAAGAAGAAGAAGAAGAAGAAGAAGAAGAAGAAGAAGAAGAAGAAGAAGAAGAAGAAGAAGAAGAAGAAGAAGAAGAAGAAGAAGAAGAAGAAGAAGAAGAAGAAGAAGAAGAAGAAGAAGAAGAAGAAGAAGAAGAATGAGAGTGTAATAATAATAATAATAATAATAATAATAATAATAATAATAATAATAATAATTACTAATAATAATAATAATTAACGGTTTACTGAAAAAGTTCTGCAGCCCGAAGGCTGAAAATATACATTGGACATAAATGACGTAATACATACACTGGTGGTTTAACAAAAGCCTTCATTAGAGAAAGGTAAAGGAACATACAGTGAACATACAGATTAATGTTTACAGTGGTCACGTAGATCATGTGCACTGAGGTGTTGAACAGCAGACACGTAGTGTAGTAACTCCCTCAACAGATGGTGTTATGAGGGATATCACGTGGTGTAGTAGTTCCCTCAGAGGTGGTGTTATGAGGGGCTTGATGTGGTGTAGTAATTTCCTCACAGATGGTGTTATGAGGGACCTGACGTGGTCGGTAGTCGAAAAGGCGAAAATAATACATAGAAATTATAAAATGAAATACGGTACAGTAAAAGTATTCAATAATGAAAAATGAATAAAGTGTTACTGTGCACTTACCTTTAATGTAGTCAGCTGACTGCACATGGGGCCTCAATATTTTTTACTTAAGCATGTAGACTACATTAATTGGATGAAGCAGAGGAGGAGACAGGGCTGGGTGGGTCAAGAAGTTCCCTTTCTTCAGACCGGCTAACATACTTGCTTGTTGAAGGTATTGGATCATCTTTAGGGAGTGAGAGGCAGCGGTGGTGGGGCATGAGGAGACAGCAGTGGGGGACTTCTTAAAAAAAATGTCCAATTTAGACTGCACAGTTTGCCTTTTCTTTTCATTGTAAATCTCCCTGTAGCAAGCAAGTGCATCTTGGATCAGTCTGTCAACTTTTGCAAAACACTTTGATCCATTTCTTCAAACATTCGCATCCCCTTATTAATTGTAGCAAATGCCTTTGCCATTTGTTTCACTGAAAACTTTTTGGGGGTGCAGGTTCTTCTACATTTTCTCTCTCTTCTTCCTCTGCAATTTTCTGTACATCCAGTTCAATAAGATTGTTACTTGTTACTAGCTCTTCTGCTACACTTTCCACCAACTGCTCAACATCTTCATTATCAATTTCTAACTCCAGCTGTTGATCCATCTGCACTATCTTGTTACTAATCTCAGAAATTGCTCCATCTTCATTAAATCCTTTCAAACTGATTCACACATCTTTTCAGGACCTCCTTCCATATTCCATTCATGCACTGACCTGTAACCTCATCCCATTCTGCAGCTATGTATTTTGTACATTGCAAAATGTTGTAATCCTTCCAAAACTCTGAGCGTTTTCTCATCTTCAGTTGCAGCAATAGCCTGAGCGAAGGTCGTACGCAAATAATATGCTTTAAAAGTAGCAATAGCACCTTGATCCATGGGTTGGATGATAGAGGTAGTGTTAGGTGGAAGGTAGGCTACCTTAAGATCAGGGTGCAGGTCGTCCAGGTGTGGTGGGTGTCCCCGAGCATTATCTAAAATTAATAAAATCTTGAAGGCAACCCCTTGTTGCAGACAATACTCCTTGGCTTGTCGAATGAAACAACTCTAGAACCAATCCTCAAACAGTGTTAAGGTCATCCATGCTTTCTTATTACTGCGATAAAACACTGGCAGTGTGTGCTTGCTGGCATTTTTAAAAGCAATTGGGCTCTCTGAATGATATATCATGAAGGGTTTTACCTTGAAACTAGCTACATTCCCCCCTCCCCCCCAACAGAAGTGTGATTCGGTCCTTGAATGCCTTGAATCCCGGCATGCTCTTCCAGAATAAGCCAGTTTCATCCACATTAAATATTTGCTCAGGCAAATAATTTCCCTCCACGATGACACGATCTAGCTCCTCCTTAAAAGCTTCGGCAGCACCCACATCAGCACTTGCTGCCTCTCCACTCACCTTTACACTGTGCAAACTGTAACATTTCTTAAACCTTTGGAACCCCCACGACTTGCTGTGAAGTTTTGGTCGCACTCATCTCCTGCCTGCTCTTTCAGGCTTTCAAAAAGGCTTCTTGCCTTAGCCTGTATGGTTAGAAGGCTTAAGGGTACACGCTTTTGCAGCTGATCCTCCATCCACATCACAAGTAATTTTTCCATCTCATGAAGAGGATCTTGTCTTTTTTCATTATTATTGTTCCCTTTACAGGTGCTGATCCTTTCACTACCTAACGAATTCGTTCCTTGTCCTTCAAAATTGTTGATATCGTCGAGTGAGAGAAACCAGAGTCGAGTGAAATGGTTGCTACGGTTTTTCCATTTTCATATTGCATTATTATTTTCATTTTCATCTCAAAAGTAATTGACTGTATCTTTTTCTTCTCAGCACCACGAGAACTCTCACTTTTACGCTTGCCAGCCATTTTAAAGGGAATTCGAAACAAAAAGTTTGTCAGTACACAGCGCGATCACAAACAACAACGACGGCCAAACAGCAACTGAGCGGGCTACGGCATGGATGCTGTACACCACGAGGCGGCCCGGCCCACACTGTAGTACGGGGTCACATTAGTAGGACTGTTAAATAAGCACACAGAGACCTTCGCCTCAAACTTATCACCTCAACCCCCCCACCCCTCGCTGGGTGGCGTGGCTGGTTCCGTCAGTCCCCCCCCTCAGCCAGGCTTTTAGGCTTACAGTTTTTATCTTATATAATATCTCAGACTAAAGTTAGATTATAATTTGCAGTGCTGGAATCCTTGCAAGACAGCCAATAATTTGAATATAAACGTCATATATTTTGCTCAAGAGATAAAAAAATTTGTACATTAGTGTACAGTACTGTAGTTCATTTTCTAAAAAAGTTTTTCAACTGTATTTTTGGGTAGACTTACATAGATTTCTTCATTTATTTTCATCTATTTACATGCACACACCATACTAAAAGAAACGTAATATAAATAAATGACCTTAGTGCAAAGCTGGAGTGCACATGTACTAATTTGATTACGGCACTAAAATTGTTTTGTCTAGTGCAAATTATAACATGTTTATATTCAAATTAATCAGTATGTTACAAGAATCCCAGCTATGTTAATTATATTCACCCAGGTCATTTCACTGTCTTTTTATAAGAGAGAAGCTTAGTCACCTAAGAACTGACAAATATACACGCGTTAGACCTGGGCCTGTGCCAACTGTCAAACGTACTACCTCCCCTCCCCCCACGCCTCCTCGCTTGCTCCCACCCTCTCTCTCCCCCAACTGCTCGGCGTTGCTGGAATCCTTGTAAAACAGTGAATAATTTTAATATAAACGTCATGTATTTTGCACAAGAGATAAAAATTAATCACCTGTATAACATTACAGTAGTGATTTAAGAGTAAAAGTGCATATGTACATATATAGTATTCCACATACACGTAAGTATAAATAAAAAGTTTATGTGATGATCGGACAACATCCTTTTCGGTTAACGTCACGTTTCCAAGAACGTATCTAGGACGTTAACCGGCGCATGAAAATATATACCGTGTATGTATGTATGTATGTATGTATGTATGTATGTATGTATGTATGTATGTATGTATGTATGTATGTATGTATGTATGTATGTATGTATGTATGTATTTAATTTAAACAAAATCCACAAGGAGTTTGTCAGGCTTCTGACTAACCCTGCCGAAACACTCAGTAAACAGTTGCTGTCCTTGGTTTTTATAGTGATGCTTCTGACAAGGAGAGGATATTTATCCCTTCTTCACAATCTTTTACAGCATTATTGTAACCCCAATCAACAGTAAAGTGAGAGATAAATAAAAATAAGGCTAATAAGCAAATAAAAGAAAAATATTGCATTGCCATTTGGCAAATGTTTCACTACACACAGGAGACAACAAACAGCTAAGATCCCCCACACTGCTCCCCCCTCCCTGACCTGTGTGCTAACTCCTGTGCACATAACAATTGTTTATTCCCTTTATGTTCTTATCCTTATGATTTTTTGGGGGCACATCTACCTGAAATAATGAGTTGAAAATAACCAAAACATAGCTCACAGCTCAGCCTAGTAGGGAGAGGGCTATAGATAGACATGTGGCTACAGTGACCAGTATAACTTAGCAACATGCCACCTGAAATGAAAACAGATCCAATTAAAAATAAAAGGTTTTAATTTCCATTAATATATAAGCACAAATATGTTGCCACACACTAGACTACATTACTAGGGTGTGTCATAATGGAGGCTTAATTTTTTTTAGTTTGAAAAATCGGCCCATGGTATTAATGATGTAGTTCTATGTGCAGAATCATGTATATTCTCAGATTTGAAAAGTGTTCATTTTTGTTGTGGGTAAATTTTAACTTGAAATCTTATGAAAACGCAGTATTCCCACCCTTTTACCAACACAACACTAAATAGCTTTATTTAAAGTAGCAAACATACGTTAATTTAATAGATGAAAATAATAATCCAGAATAGTGAAACTAATGATCTTGGACACATTTATGAATTTAATACCTCTTTAGAAAACAAAATCATCAAATACAAACCGGTTTTACTACTACGACCGTGTTGCTGCACACCATAGAGAACATGTCTTTCTTGCTTGTTTCTACTATCACCTCCCTGCTGGACCACCTGAGCTCAGATGTAGCCTTCCCTCCTCTCCTGGTTGTACATCGACCGCTGGCCTCGCCACTTGCTGCGTACACAACAACGCCATACTCTGGTGTAAAGGAGGCCAGGCAGGGACATGCATGGGGTTGTCCAGGAAAGCTCTGGACTTGAACATTGGTGAGGTTGCAGGCAAGAGGGGGCTCACTGCCAGCCTGGATGCTATCCAGATCTATGAGATCAAAGCGAGGTCTTGGCAATCTAGATTGATCTCAGGGAGTCTTCCCTGACCCTGAAGGAATCACACCAACTGATTCGGCCATGCCCAGATCCTCTCATAAGTCTCTTCATATCCAAGATCTTTTTGATTGCCACTCTTCTCTCCTCCCCATCCCACAGAGCATTGTCTGCAGAACTGCTCGATGAGCATACCAGGAAGATCTCCTCACAAATTCGCTCCACAATCTGAACAACCTTTCCTTGGCTGACTCCTCAGGAGCTCAAGCTGGAAGAGAACATGCCTCGACCTTCTTCGAGAATCCATGACCTGACCTTGGTGTTGGAACCAATTCTGGCAAGTAGACACTCACGATGAATTGGACAATAAGTCTCAGGTTGTGAAGCTGGTTCCCTTTCAGTTTATGATGAGCGACCCAAATTCTGCAGAACCTGAGAGCCATAAGTAGCCACCCAGGAATGAAACTGACCTATCTGCAGGTAAGCAAGTCTATCAGGCATGACCCCAGTTTTGATGGCAGCGGAAATCATGTGACCACATAGTACTGGGGTCAGTACTCAGGTCGCCAATGACAGTACGCGGCAAGCTCAACGAGCGCCGAGGGCCAACTGTGATTTTTCGCTCGATTTATTTCTAACTCAGTGGCAGAGTCCAGCATCTTGCCAATAGACCAGACCATCATTGTTTGAAAGAGTCTTACATCCAGCCCTGGATCAGATGTCTGAGTGGCAACTCGCTGGTGTGGAGGTCACAAACAATCCAGACCAGCTTCCTCCCAATCTTCCTCCTATCCACTGTATGACCCCTTGCCACCCTGTGTTCAGAAAGTTGGTGCTGTCCTCCAATGGTCCGCAGGGTCTGGTCTATGTTCCTCTCTCTGACAGTTCACAATGTTATCTGCCACTATCTCAGCTGGTTTCCTGATGTCATCTTTCTCTGGAGGAATGCCACAAATACTTCCTCCTGGTTCACTGCAGCAGGAGTAGTGTTCCTCCTTCACCATGGCAGGAACAACTTGTCAGAATCTCCAACTTTCATGAACACTTTAGTGTCATACCTTCTCCCATCAAAGAACAAACAATTGATTCCATTTTCTTATCCCCTTATCAAACTCCTCTAGGGTTACTGACAAAGTTTCTCCTGAGCTCTCCTTACTTTGTTATGATCTATCACCAGGTGAACATCATCAGGTGTTATCAAACCACCGGGCCAATCCAGGCAGCTGTTGCTATCTCTGCAGTTTCTCTGAGACCAGTGTGTGGCGTCAAAGATGCTGGCCAGAGCTATGCTCGATATCTTTCCTATTTCGAATCTTTATGCCTGGAAGGTTTGGGATCATTATTTTCTGGGTTAGGACAAAGTCACCATTCTCCTGGTCAGCACTGGATCAGCCATGGGGAAGTCATTAAACTCTGAATCAGCTTCTTGACTCCAATCATCGGGCCTTTTACCCTCAAATTCTGGGCCTTCTCAAGTCTTTTCCTCGTGGGCAACTCTTTCTCCCTCTTCTGTCTCTTCTGTGGCAGCTCTCCCGTCTCTTGACTGAATATCTTGGCTAGAAATCATGAGAACCCCTATACTGCCAGTCTTCTCTCTGTGCTTTGACAAATGCCAGTTCGATCACAGGAATCTTCAGTTCACGCCAGAAATGCAAGAGATGTGGGCCTCGATTTACACCTCACGACGATCCAAACTCAGGACAGAGAACAATTGGGCACTTGCAAGTAATTATGTCAAATAACTGGTCCAGTTGCTTGGCAAAGCTGTCCTTAACTGCAAGTTTCCACTCCCAAGAGAGATATCTCTTGCCTTTTCCCAACTGGCTGTAGCAGTCTCTCACTAATCTTCTTCTCTGACTTGTTAAGTGACTGAGTGGGCTTGAACTGAGCCGCTAGCCAGAGTGTACTGTGCCAAGACAGCTATCATATCACTGGCAATGTCTTTGTTTGTGTAAGTTCCCGGTTCTTTTCACTGATTTGCCTGATTAAAACACCGTATCTCAAAGCATCTCTCAATGTAGGCAACTCCTACTTCAGGAGCCTCTCCCAGACCCAAGATAGTGACTCCTCCCGAGATATGGATTTTTGGTTCCTCGGCCCTGACACAAGCAGCCATCGCAAATATTATCAACTTATAAATGCATCAGAATCTGAAACAGAAAAAATATTGTTAGTTGGGTTGTTAAAGAATGAAGTCAGAAAGCAATGTTCACTATTTAATTGTAATGCACTCAATGCAGTTGCATGTTAGGATTTTCATAAATTTCACGCTTAAAATTTTACTCCAGTTAAAAGGTTGGGTAAAAATATTGAAACTGAAATTATTTTCTGTTTACATACACTAAAATCTACCAAAAAAGTGATGGGCCATTAGTTTTAGCTGATCTTCCCTCCTATGACACACCCTACTGCATTACAGTACACTGCTTGCTACACAATTTCAGCACGGAATGCTCTCTGATGCCTTTGTCACCAACTCCCAGATCTTCTGACGCTACGGGGTCTTCGTTCATATACCAAAGCACAGGAATTTTCTTTTTTATAAGTGATTTTTGGTAAATTAAAGCACTCCTGTACTACCAAGCCAATATAAGACTTCTGTATGAGATGAAATCTATGATATGAAGTTTGAAGCTAAAACCCCAGAAGAGTCAATGATAACTTGACAACCTTAAACTCTTCACTTTTACTGTAAACACAGTCAGGATCCTCACCATCTAAATCTTTGTCTGGAATTTCCTGGGGATCAATAAACTTGCGGCCAATGGCATACATCAGCTCAGGGTAAGTGTGTTCACGCCACTGCTCCAACTCTCTCTTGCTCAGTGCAGGAATGGTGTCTGGCATATATAACCCACCATCTTTTGCATATCCTGAAAGAAGATCATACATTAAATACACCATGATTAATGATAGAATTACCATAACAATATCATTCTTATAGCCTATGGGTGGCCTACCAGATCTACCATTACTACATTAACCCTCTCAGCCTTGCAAGACGCCCTTGATGCGTCGAACATAAAAGGAAAAAACATTCCATGGCAGTGAAATGAGCTCCCCCAAAAAATTTCAAAGATTTTTGGGCAAAATTTGAGGCTGAGCGTGAGTTTTCTTGCAAGTACGGTATGTGTCTCCGGTTCCGAGGCTGAGAGGTTAGTAGCCCCTAACACTGACCACCATCATTAAAGAGCTTGACTGACCTACACCAGCTAATATAAGTGATATCCCCATTAGCCGGAACAATTGGTGCAGAGCACTTCCAGGAATGAGAGATTTCTGGGTAACGAGACGACTCTCTCAAAGCTGGAAAATATCCCTCATCCCCGGAATTTTCCGGGCAACGGAAAAATGTTCTCGGAAGTTCCAGAAATTGCCCATTACATCATCTCTTGAGCCCGGTAAAATATCCCTCACCCCTGGAATTTTCCGGGTAACAAAATTTTTTCTCTCGGAATTTCCAGAAAATGAGCCTGATTATCATCTCTATCCGAAAATCCCCCATACTGAATTTGCCAAAATTTTCCGGGCACCAGGAAATTTTTTTCAAAATTTTCCAGAAAATTCCAGCTTTGGGAAAGATTTTCCGAGAAAATTTCAATTCCGTCTATCGGAGAGTTGTGGGTTTGAGGGATTCCGGCTAAGGGAGATATTACTGTAATTGGACAATGTTTTAAACTACTAGCAGTGGAAAAGTTATCAAGAAATGTTTATTTAAGCATATAGTTTATCTAAAGCTCAAAATTTCGTTTTGTGAATGTTTCCCGTCTTATGATATCGTCCATCGAGGTGGTGAATATGGAAAACATTTGCTTTCAATATTCATTAAATACATGGCATAAATGTGTAGCATGAATATTATTTCAATTCATATTTTTTATTCGATATTCATTTCAGGTCAACATTATTAATGTTCTGATATAACGCTACAAATTATTCCCAAATGTCCTTGAACGATAATCTTGCTTGTCATATTATTTTGTTTCAAAATACCAACGTACCTTAATAACCAACACACATATGGACCAGAAACGTTGTTGATTAGTGAATCAATGGTTAATAAACAACTAAATTTCATAAGAAAATAACAAATTCAGGGGTTAGGGACCAACCTCACTCCAAAAACAAAACTCTCATCTACCCTTGATGGATCTTTGTCGTAAGCAATACTAAAGCAAGAAAGTAAAGCAGACATATAAAACAAGCATAATAAGCTTTAACCCTTAAGCCCCAGGTCACGGCAATACCACAGGGCTCTCCCCCAAGGGGGGGGGGGTAAATTGAGAAAAATCAACTATTTCAAAAATAATTTTTAACCCTTTTAAATGATAAAACAATAAAAATAAAGAAGTAAGAAAACTATATATTGACCCTCTAGAAACTTTCCTGGCAGCACGGAGGGAGGGAGATAAGGGGACAGCTTGTTGACGGCGAGCACTCGTGGTCACCTAAGCACTAAGCAGCTATTTTTATCTTGTCTTTGTGTTCGAGATGGCCAGCAATGCATATATTTACTGATCATAATATTTATTTGCAATAAATAATTAATTTAGAATATTTTATTTGTACTGTATTATTTTTCATAAAAATTGCTTGGCAACACACACGCAGTCGGTCGCCAGGCTGTCTGGCTTTCTTTGTGTTTGGTAGAGCAAGTAATGCATAACATAATAAACCACAAATAAATACATTGATAACCTAATCATAGCATTATTTTCCAGTAATACTACACTAAAATACAACTTCACTACTTTTAGAAATATTACTTTGATACATGATACAATGGTCAAACAATGAAACTGAAATAAATAAAAGTAGCTAATTACATTCAGGAAGGTTCCCTGTGGCTGAGCGTGTGAGTGACAGGCAAATAGTCACACTGGAACCTGATAACCCGGGCTGGGTATTTAAACAGCGGGCGGATAAGGCGCGCATTCTGGAACGTCACAGTAATTTCACCAATAAAATTTTTAGTTGACTAGCTGTAATTAAAGATTATTTTATTTAAATCAACACTGCACTGTGCCATATATTATCAATATGTTAACTAAATTTCAGAATGACCAATAATTTTAAAGTAAAACGATAAATACTCTGTATTCAAGAGAGCAACAAACACGATGTTTCCACCATAAACAAAGTTAAACTGACGCTTAAGGGAGTCGCTGCTGATGGGCACACAAAAACTAAGTTCCTGTACTGCATTTATTATCAATATGTTAACAAAATTTTAAAATGACTAATAATTTTAATATAAAAAATGCAAAAATATTAAAAAAGCACAACTTTTCTGATATTTACTCCATTGAGCGAATGTAAACATAGAACCGACACTGTATTGGCGGACTAGCTGATCAGCTGATGCTCACAACAAAACGTGTTTGTCGTAATGATTTGTTAATTGAAGCTTTGTTCGTTAACCGAATTGAAGATCCTTATGGGAGCTAAGTCGTTAACCGAAATTTCGTTATTCGAACCATTCGTTAACCAAGGGACCACTGTATTCTTAAAAAGATAAATGACGCGGTATCCTTAAATGCGCACGTATATTTTGGCGTTCCCAATCAATCTCTTTCTTTTCTTTGCCATTAGTGGTTAGCTACTTCCATTGTTCCATTTATTAACATTAAATAACATTACTTAAAACATATATATTCATTTTTTTACATTAACTTTACTACAGCTACAACCAGGGTCTTATTTACTTAATTTTCTCGTGTAGAACTATCGTCCCGGACTCCCGGCTGTAAACACAAATGAAAACAATGACATCCCATCTCCTCTTGTGTGACCATATTATTATTCATTTATATTGTATAAGGTGCATTCAGAAACATTATTTAAAGAATATAGTTTGCAACTTTCATTAATTGTATTGTTTTGGGGGAAAAGAGGTAAAAAGCCACACAAAAGGTCACACTTGGGAATGCATCTCATGGTTATTGCTTTATTTTAATGGTAATATGATTAACTACTTGATTTCAGTATATATTGCATTTACAAACACAAAATCATTTGTTTTCCCCTACAAAACCACTTTAAAATCACTTTCAATGCTTGTATGACGAAACTTACAAAAAAAAAAAAAATCTACAAAATATCCCTGAAAATAGGGTGGGACTTACGAGATGGTGCATCTTATATGCCAGCAACACGGTACCTATTGGGATAAAAACGATTATTAACCTTAAAAGCACCAATGGCTTAAGCTGGATGCATGGAAATATTTTATAGAAATATAAAATATCTATTATATTTGGTGGTCAGTACAGAGTGGAAGTGTGTTACCGAGGTGGACTGTCAGGAGGGAGTGGCTCTCCAACATGAGAAGCCGTGAGGCTGTGTGTGTTTACTAATACAAAATACAGTAGTGACATGATGGTGGCCTGGTGTGTCGTCATATGGCTAGAACAGCAACAGGATCCACCACTTGACATAAGTGTGTGATAGACATAACGGAATATTTAACTGGTGTCAACTGTGTGTTGAAAGTGCTTACAACAATCCAGCTCGATATTCATATAATATTACATCAACAGTATATACTGCATACATAATTAATAAGGGAACACAATTGTACTAATATGTGTGTGTATGTGTAAGAGTGCATGGAAGAATGTACTGGCACAAAGACTTACATACAGTAAGTCTACAAACTCAGCTAGAAATCTCTTCATATACTCTAACTTGTCATTTAGTTAATCCCAGACTTGGAAGCCTACTTATGTAATACTACAGTACTAGTTATAATGTACCATAGAGGTGTATCATTTCAATCATTACTCATCACAAATATGTCTACAGTACACTTAAGCACCAAAACACAAAGTACTTTTATCAATAGGAAATTACTAACCTGAGAATAAGACATCTTTAAAGGAGAGGCCAGTCTCCAGACCCCGTGTGCTGCAGTACTTCATGGCTTTCCTTGGTCTGAATTCTTAACTAGAAAATAACCTGAAAATTAGAGGATACAAAAAATTTAAAGTATAAAAGCAATTGGTGAAATGAAACAATATAAAAGGCAAGGAGAATAATAGTGATGCATTTGAACTGAGGTACTTTGTGGAGGTAGTATTAATTATAATACAGGTTGACAATCCTTTATCCGAAATCCTTGGGGCCAGAGGCATTTCGGTTTTCGGAAATTTTTCGGTTTTCAGAATGGTTAGGGTTGTTTTTTTCTTCTTTGTGTGTGTGTAGATAGCCCACCCAGGCATAGATCACTGATCCACAGTGGGGCCTGGGGTCTAAAATATAATAAAAATTATAATACTAATAATAATAATTCATAGGTCTAGGTCGTGTTTCTCACTTTTGATCATTTTTTCATTCTTGTATTTCTTTACTGTATTATTATTTTAATACTACAGTATTATTGTTATTATTATTATTATTAATTTTATTATATTTTATTATTATTATTATTATTATTATTATTATTATTACTATTACTATTATTATTATTATTATTGTAATCATTGTTATTTTATTTGGGTGTATAATTATAAAAATTTTTATTTACTATGAATAATTATTATTATTATCATTATTATTGTACTGTATTACTATTACATTTTTGCCCCCCAGGCCCCGATGTGGGTCAGTGATCTGTGCCTGGCTGGGCTAATAATCCCTGTAAAAAAAAAAGCCCCACAAAAAACTTTCGGTTTTAGAGCTTTTCGGTTTTCGGATAAAGGGTTGTTAACCTGTACCAGACTTCACTATCAACATAAGTTCTCCAATTCTACCAAATTTGGCAAATTCTCAAAAAAAAAAATCTGTTTTAGACTACCTGGTATTCATATTGTGTGTATGTGTGTCAGCTGCAGAACAGGGCACCAGATAATTTTCTTATACAGTAATGTCACATTTTAAAACCAATAAATTTTTACCTAAACTCGTTCAAAAATTATTATAAAAAGTTTGTTATCTCTGCAAATGTATTTTTTAAAAAAGACATTGATATTTTTCTAGAAAACTTAATTGTTTGTCATGTGCATTGCGGCTTTCTTAGGTTAGGTTAGGTTAAGTTACGTAGGGTAATGTTAGGTTAGATTAGGTAAGGTAAGATTACGTAAGGTTGTAGTTTTGTGTGGGGAAGAAATATTTCACTAATTTTGCAGCAAAAAAAAAAATCAAAATCACTGCTGAATGCATTGATTAAAAACCTATGATCATAATAATTTTTCTGAGAAAAAAATGCTTTACCACTTAATTTTTACCCCCCTCCCTTTTTATTAAGTTTGATGAACTTAGATTAGGTTAGATATTATTTAACTCCGAGTCATGGGTACTTATTGGATACTTGGCAGAATAACTTGTTATAACTTGGTCCTAGCATAGGCAGAGTCAAGGCCAAAATGTTCACTTGACTTCATAGTTAACTTTCATTACTGAAGGATATTTACAGCTATACCACATTAATACGGTCTATCTGCAAGTTTACTCAGTCATAAAATTTTTTTTTACTATAAATGTGGACAATAAAAATCTTATATTTTGGTACAAATTGCTTGAAAAGTTGTAAGAAGACAAAAGCTGCGTCTCTTCCATTCTACGAGAAATAGAACACTCAAGCCTCTTCCTATCATAAAAAATGAACTAAAAAGACAAATTGGAATATCGTATTTTAGTATGTTGATGTACAAAACATTTTCTTCATTAGTCTATGATAAAACAAGTCAAACAAGCATTATTACAACATTTATTATTTTTGTTTATGCAATCGGGAAATAGCAATTACTATATCCGGGTTGATCGGATATATAAATGTAACTTAGGATGCCACTATTATGCATTTTCACCATTATACATTTTAAATTTAGGTTAGGTTAGGTAAGGCATGTTAAGATTGTTAAGGTAAGGTAAGGTAAGGTAAGGTAAGGTAAGGTAAGGTAAGGTAAGGTAAAGTAAGGTAAGGTAAGGTAAGGTAAGGGTTAGGTTAGGTGGTTAATATATAGGACTAACCAGGAAACGAGTTGTTTGTATTAATGTTTATTTTCTTACTTAATTTTCATCAGTGAATTCTGATATGGTAATCTTTTCTTGAGCAAATGTCTCATTTTGTAGATAATTAGGCGCCTAGGCGCCGCACTAATTTGTCTTCCCAGAGATTATGAGGCCATGCTCTGTTGCAGCTTTTCCGTGCTTGTGGCAGTTTCATTTTCAGCATGACGCGTGAAGGTTGTTGGCTGCTTACATGGACATAATTTGCAAATTTAGGGACAAAGACAACGAGACCCTTCAATTGTTCAAAGACCAAGGCATTGTTCCTTTAAATAGAGACTGTCCACACTGTTGGAATCCCTGTGCTTTCAGACCGGAAGGAAATGTTTTCATCACTTCCTCAATGCTTGACGTTTCTCACCATTGCAAATCCCACTCCCGGGCTGCAGAAACACCGATGCGGCCATATAAATTCATGTACAGAAAATGCTTCAAATTTCACCATATCATAGTACCGGTAAGTTCTTTCTGTTTAATATACCAGGGGTCCGGGGGAGGGGGGCAGAGCTCCTCGGTAAGGAAGTTAGGTAAGGTTAGGTATGTTTGTTTGGTTAGGTTGGTTCGGTGTTTTTCATCCCAACAAATGTTAAGTTACGTTAATCTTAGAAACATCCATTTTTTAACACATTTGAACAAATTACAACAATGTCCACTATAAAAAGCAGTAAAAATCAAATGGTTCATACGACTGTCTATGATATTCAAGGTTGAATATCATAGACAGTCGTATGAACCATTTGATTTGACTGATAAATAAGACCAAACCCACTGGCTCCACGACAAGCAAATAGTTATACTGTACAGTAAGTCCTCGTTTAACATTGCCCCTGTTAATATTGTTTCAGAGCTACTCTTTAGATACCAAGAATCGGATGACACCCCGACGACTCAATATTACGTGGTTTTTGCGTAGTCACGGACCACTTTTACCGCATTACCCTCTCTCGTCTTGCCACGCTATGCTCTCTCGGCTTGGCACATTACCTCTCACTCGCGGAACGTCACACAGTGTACCGAAGTGACGCCAGTCTTTGTTAGGCTTTCACAGCATTCTTACGTGTTCAAGTGTTTTTGCTCGTAAGACTGTACTCTAACCATTCGAAATGGCTTCCAAGCGCCTATCAAGAGCTACTGATGCGAGTGTTGTGAAGAAGAAACGTATGACCATTAACCTTGCTACGAAAATGTAGGTTTTAACCAGTTTTGAAAAAGGGGAACGTATGTGGACATTGCTGGTGCACTTGGACTAACCCCCACAACAGTACATACTATCCGGACCAACACGAACAAGATTAAGGCTAGTGCTGGAAGTGGTAGTTCTCTGAGTGCAACAAAGACAAGTCATACTCGAAGTTCTTTGATTGAAGAGATGGAAAAGATGCTGGCTATGTGGATGGAGGTTAGACTTTGGTTAGGTTAACTTTCGTTTTTGCTCTTCCCCACACACATACACAAAAAAAAAAAATCCTACAGGTCCCCCTAGATTGTTGGAAGCGAAGGTATATCTAATATACAAAAAAAAATCACACGGAAATGAAGGCTGAATTCGAATGAACCACACCAAATACAATGGGAAAATCAAGATATTGGGTAAAAAACAAACAATTTGTATTGAAACTGCAATTTTACCAATTTCCCTAATTTAGGACATTTAATACCAAAATCAAGCAGTTTTTAATTACAATGTATCTAAACCTAAACTCAATCATGAGCTTTATACTTTTACTTTTATCTTGTTCGCCACTGAGCGTCTTGTTAACTGCTTGGGCGGTCGGTCACATCTCTGTTACGCACTGTTGGCAAGTACTACTGACCGGGCATGGCTCCTGGATATATCGGAACGAATACTAGTTTACTGATAAAGAGAAATTCGTTGTCCTGTGACTGAAGAAGGTTCTACACACCTGTTGATGACTCCAGTACTGTTACTGCGTGCCCTTATCTAATCAGATGGTGGTGTGGTTGATACATAATCTGCTGTTGTCTATTATTCTAATGATCTTACAGAAGACCCCGTTACTGTCACTGAAGGTAACTGATGAGGTGTTTTAAGTATGCGGCCGAGATCCCAGCTGTCAGCTGTTCCCGCACTGGCCCTCCTGAAGACCGAAAACAACCTACAGAGTTCGACCAAACTAAATAAACTAAATAATGAAAAAATTATATATTTGTATACTGTGAATTTTTTTTTAGTTTATTAGGTCTTTTTATATTTGAGAGACATAAGGGCAGTCGACATATAAGGAAAATTTATCAAATATTACTACAAATTTACAAGAATTAGCGCTATTTTTGGCAATTTAGTCCACCAGTCATCAGTGTGATTATGAAATAAATGTTACAAAAATTAACTTAGACAACTTGATAAATTGGTCACTAAAATGTTTTGGGTAAATATTTAGGAGTTGCCAACACCTAACTTACTATTGAAAATGGGGTTTCAGTGTAATTACCGTGTTAAATGCGAATATGATCTTCATTGCCGTGGGAAATGAGCCTTTATGGAGATATTAAAAAAAGGAGGGTAAAAACGCAAAACTGACAAAACCAAACCTAACCTACCAGAGAAATTAGAAATAACTGACCTAACTTCCTAGCCAGGGGGTGGATCACCCAGTGTATAAAAAAGTTACCTTGTAGTGGGTTTCTCCCCTACAAACGCTGTTTGTCGCTGAGTAGCCGACCCCGCGAATTCCCCAGTGTATGCCTCGTGGTCTAGGTCAACCAGCGCCGCCATACATCACGGAGGTCAACTACTAAGCCACGCCTACCCCCGATATTTAAGACCTGACCTAGTGGTGACCTCTCTTCTTCTAGCTACAGCCGCAGCAAGCAACACCTCCTCCTCCGCCGCTGCCTGGCGGCCCTCGCTCCCGCCGGCGAGCATGGCGACCCACAAGCTGGTCCTCCTCTGAGCACCCTCACCAACCAGCTCTCTCCACATCACGCTTGTAACCACGCTGCCACTTCCCAGCACCAAGCTGCATTGTACATCCAATACAACATGTATACAGAGAGCACATTGTGAGTTTCCTTTCTCCATCCCATCCTGAGTGTGAACCCAAACAACTCGTACCCCACAACCCTAATTAAGAGATGCAGTTGGATGCTCATGCCCCAGATCTCTTTCTCTTAAGCCGACAGTCTCTTACCATAGTTACCATGCTATCACGTATGACGATCTACACAGTACTGACACTCGGAATCACATTATTTAATTCACATCTCGGCCACTTTATTGACGAAACTAAAACACCATGCGCCCTAAAGATGTCAACGGTTGCGACTTCGTTCTCCAAAATTTGCTAATCAGCCAAAGTAATCCTGTATACATAGATTCCATCTTCGTTCCAAACTTTCAATGATTGGCCAATAAAGAGTTAAGCGCATGTGTACGGTGTGTACGACTATCACGTCACATCGACACCCTAATTGGCCGAGTGAATAGATTATTAAAATAAAAATAACTGGAAAACTATAAATTTGCGACGGAAATGCTAGAGTAAATTATTTATATATTTTTATTTATGTCCCTATATAGGACTCAATATATAAGTAAATTTTGGCAACTACTAAATATTATACAGGCATTTATTTTTTTAAATGGGGTTATTTTTAAATTAAACCTAACCTTAGTTGATAAGAAACACGAGTGGCTGAAGCGTTGTTAGAAGCGCAACAACCTAATCAAAGAAACCTACCTAACCTTACCTAAATTCCTAGCCATAGACCCCCCCCCCCATACTAAACAGAAAAAAAACTTACTATGACATGGTGGAATTTTGTTTTGTGTGGACGTGAGAAAACCCTGTCGTACCAAGTATCTTGTAAACTAAACATGAGTGGAGGACAAAATCGGGCTTGGATTGGGCGAGGCTAGGGGCCGAATTACAGTATCTACCAAACGATGCATTTGCCCAAGAAATAAATACCATATCCGAACTCAGCAAGGAAAATATAATAATAATAAAAAACTCAAAACAAAATTATGTTGAGATGGGTCATTCGTCAATATTGACCGTCGGTCACGTCTCCGCTGCACATTGTTGGCCATTCTATTCAGAAGAACTTTTTCTTCAGAATCATGTTATCATCACAGAATATTATTTTTTTTAAAGAAAACTGTTTATAGAAAAGTATTCAGATGAAAGTTTTGTTCACAAAAATACATGTTTCGAGGAGCAATTTATATTCTGAGAAGATTTTTTCCTCAATAGAACATACTACTCAGAGAAACTTTTTCAGGACGAGTTTTTATTCAGATCATTAAAGTTAAAAAAAACATTTAATCACAGGTAAACATAACGTAAATAAAATTTTGTTTTTATAAGTCATATTATATTCCGGTAATTATGTTTAATTAAAGATATATTATATTAAGGCGAGAAAAAACGAGTTTTTTTGTTTTAGATGTGCTCAGAAGATATTGTTGTTACGGAGACATTGCTGGCAAGTCATGCTTGGGAGAGGATATTATGTCGATTATAAGGACATTTTGTCCATGAGAGAACAATACGATTACAGTATATCCAAATGAAGAAATCACATCCTGAAACAGCTGAGACAGTGTGTCTATATGAGGAAAGTTAGTACTTTGCTTTTCAATACAGATGACTAAAATTTGAGAACGTTGTTGTCTACATACTGGAGATGTGCCAGTACAGTTTTTCGGACATATTCAAATTATGAGAAAAAACGAAATTGTAATGTTTGTCGTCTTTTAGTAATTTTACCTAAAAATATTGTTCTTCTCTCGCCGTCCTAAAATAATGCTGATGTTGCTGCCGTAGTTTGGTTAGGTTAGATTAAGATATATTAGATTACGTTAAGTTAGGTTGGGTTAATAGACGCTACAGTGTAAATATCCCGGTAGACTGCATCCAGTTCGGTAGACCGCATACTATAGTAGCACACCTTAAATATGTTTACGCCTGTTGGAGGTACTCTTGATAATGATATATTGTATTCATTCTGAAGGTTCCATAAATTGTGTAATCATTTTTATTTTTTAGATAATCTTCCTGGAAATTTCTGTAGCCGTCGTTTATCGATTGAGATTTTTAGTATATTCTATTTTGTACTTCCACGAATTATTTTAAACAGCATGAACTTGATTAGGGTGAGTACCTTGGGTCCTTTTCATGATATAGTTTTGGAGTCACGTTATTTATGTACAAATAATGCTCATGTAAATTATTATATTAGAAGACCTATCAGCTAAGACAGATTCCATCGAAGCCTAGCAGCCTAGCTACCGTCCTGACGCCACAAGTTAGAACGTGAGCGAGGGAGCACCGTGACGTCACAACACCACACATGTTGCAGCTCGTCGACCACTGGCTGCCACCTCCTCCTGTGCCTCGCTCGAATATAAGGTGAACCGCGCGCTCCCTTACCAGTCACTCTCAGTTGCTTCGCCGTGAGTATCACTTGCTCGGACCAAAACTGATTTGACTTGCTCAGCATATTCGTTCAGCGGACACCTGTCACTGACATACACAAGAAAATCGCCAAAGGAAATACTACCACATTCCTAGGGGCTAGTTTCTTGCCACAAGAAGAGGGGAGTGAACTTTTTTCCCTACCCGCAGACCAAACAAGGCGTAAGATCAACATGCCGCCCTGCACTACTACTGAACGCCAGGTGAAGAGCAACATGCCGCTCTGCACTACTACTGAACGCCAGGTGAAGAGCAACATGCCGCTCTGCACTACTACTGAACGCCAGGTGAGACATCACTTAACATGAGCATAGTGTGCTAACCTATCACCAACACCAGTCAACCACACTAACATTACAAAGTGTCACCTACAAACTGCCACACTAATAGTACAAACTGCCACACTAATAGTACAAACTGCCACACTAACACTACAAACTGCCACACTAATAGTACAAACTGCCACACTAACACTACAAACTGCCACACTAATAGTACAAACTGCCACACTAATAGTACAAACTGCCACACTAATAGTACAAACTGCCACACTAACACTACAAACTGCCACACTAATAGTACAAACTGCCACACTAACACTACAAACTGCCACACTAATAGTACAAACTGCCACACTAACACTACAAACTGCCACACTAACACTACAAACTGCACACACTAACACACTACACACTACAAACTGCCAAACTACAAACTACACTGCACTACAAACTGCCACACTAACACTAACACACAAACTGCTACACTCTAATACTACAAACTGCACTAACACTACAAACTGCTACATTAACACACTACATAAACTGCCACAAACTGCTACACAACACTACAAACTCTAACTGCTACACTAACACTACAAACTGCCACTACACTAACACTACAAACTGCCAACACCACACTAACACTGCCAACACTGCCACTAACACTACAAACTGCCACACTAACACTAACACAAACCTGCTACAAACTGCCACACTAACACTACAAACTGCCACTAACACTACAAACTGCCACAACACTACAAACTGCCACACTAACACTCTTGCCACACTACACCACAAACTGCTGCACTAACACACAAACTGCCACACTAACACTACAAACTGCCACACCAACACTACAAACTGCTACACTAACACTAACACGCCTGGCCACACTACTGCCACACTACACTAACACTACTAGCACTAACACTACAAAACGCCACACTACAAACACACTAACACTACAAACTGCCACACTAACACTACAAACTGCACTACACTACTACACTACAAACTGCCACACTAACACACAAACTGCCACACTAACACTACAAACTGCACACTAACACTACAAACTGCCACACTAACACTACAAACTGCCACAAACTAACACTACAAACTGCCACACTAACACTACAAACTGCACACTAACACTACAAACTGCCACACTAACACTACAAACTGCCACACTAACACTACAAACTGCCACACCAACACTACAAACTGCCACACCAACACTACAAACTGCCACACTAACACTACAAACTGCCACACTAACACTACAAACTGCCACACTAACACTACAAACTGCCACACTAACACTACAAACTGCCACACTAACACTACAAACTGCCACACTAACACTACAAACTGCCACACTAACACTACAAACTGTCATACTAACACTATATACTTTCTTACTGTACATTACTTTCTAAAAATAAATTATAATCAGTAACGAATCTAAAGGCTTCATATGTTAATACGGACGATCCCTAATGTCTCTATTTGGAGTTACTTTCAATTCAGTTGTGTTACATTCATTGTGTATACTTATTTCACATAACACATTTTCTCTACTTGATATAATAGTGTATTATATATTTAACATTTTGTGCAGATAAACACGAATCGGAGACGAGTGAGCGCGCTTGACTGTTGTGTTGGTGGCCAGACAGTAAGATTGAACTGGGACTACCTCACTGTGAGACGCTCAACAAGGTCACCAAGGTCACGTCACCAAGTTCTCGCCACTTCACAAAAAATTGTGAGAACCTTTAAAGAACTATTTGATATCCCAATTATAGTATGCAATGTAATGTTAGATTATTTTGTTTATTTTAACATTGTTAACTTTACAACCATTTTACCACACTAAATTATTATCATTATTACTGATACGACGGTAACAATTACCTTTTATCATCTGCTGTCACTTAAAGTAAGGATATTTTTGCCAGTTGATGTAATTTCAGTTGTTTATGAAGAACCTGAGTAAAGTTTTAAGACAGTTATAGGAGGCCGCTGTATACCATTAAGTTTTATTGCAAACTTTATTAAACTTGATTATAATAAACAGTGATCTTCACTAACAGGAGTGGGTGTTTAAGGCAGTGGTAGAAGGGAACTTGATCTTGGTGGAGGACCTTGTGAAGCTGACAGGACCAGCTATCACCAGAGTGCAGACGGGTTGCACTCTGCTGCACGCTGCAGCAGCTAACAACCAGCCACATGTGGTGCTGTTTCTCCTCAAGCTGGTCAGTCCCAATATAGTTAACAAAGAGGGTCAGACCCCAGCTCACCTGGCTGCCATGAAGGGACACACTCAAGTGTTGAGGATTTTGTTGTCTGACGAGGAACTGAACCACCATAAACTAGACAACTGGAAGAGGACTTACAAGGATCTGGTAAATTTATATTAATTTTATGTCTGACTCTTCCCTAACGATTTCCTCCCAGTTAATTCTCTGTAATTTAACTCACATGACCTGGTAATCTCCATGGTTGAAGTCATAGTGCTCTTCCTCAACTATTTTCTCTCGACTTTAAAAGATTATTCCACCATAGTATGTAGTAGTTGCTGGTCTGAGTTAGTTTCTCCCCGACGTGGACCTCGTCTCCCATAGTCTCCTCGGTCGTCAAGACTAAATTTAGCTTATTGTTTCCCCTCCACAACACGTGTTGTGTGAAGAATGAATCTTGAACGAGATTGAGGAATTCTTTTCTCTTGGTTTGTGTGGTAAGATTCACCCAGTCTATTGTTTCATGATGGGGGCTGGTGCTCTGGATGCTTCCTGAACGACTCTATGGATATCTGCTACTTTCTCCCCCGAGACTGAGTCAGCCCTAAGGCACACACCTGTCAGCTTGCGTTTGGTTTGAGGTATCAATTCAAATCACACCAAATAGATTCGATTGATCCCATTTCGTTAAGCTCGTTATTAATGGTTACTGTCAGGTGCTCCTTGACATAAGTAGTGCACCGCCACCTCTTGTGACCCCTCCGTCTTTTGTAAATGGTGGGTGATAACCTGGTAAACAAAATTCATCCTGAGACACACTAGATAAAACCCTTCTCATGTGTATCTAGGTCAAATAGAACTCGAACCCTTGACCTATTGGTCAGTTATGCACGTTACTACTGTACCACCATTACCCCATTTCCAACTGATATTATTTATTTCAGCTTGCTGCGCCTCTTTTTAAGGCGGTGTTTAACTGGAATAAAAACAAAATAGAAGAACTGGTAAAGCTTGGTGCTGACCCAGACTACCACGTTGGTCGGCTGGTGGACAGGATGTTGACACGAGAGTTGCAAGTTACCACAGCTCGACAGTTGGCACACGCTTTACAACGAGAAGCTATCGTCCGCATGTTTCCGCAGGTGTGTGTCTCTTATGATCCACCACATTTGGCTCTCAGTCATCTCGTAAAACTTAATGTGACTTTCCTATTGATTGGATTTTTTTTATTAAACTAGCTTAAATATTATTATTTTTTCATTATGTGAGACAGCCATAAAGAGTTTTTTTTCCATGTGTATCAGCAACACACACCAGAAAACATGACTGAGGCGACGACCGAGTTTGACTCTGCTGTGAGCATCAACAGTGACGCTTCCCCAGACCACGAACTTCCGGTAAGCAGATACATATTTTATCTCAACTTGTAATTTGTTTTTAATTTTTCATCCACTAATAAAACTGTTATCTAAATCGATACACAGGTAAAGTGTGACATCTCCCTGACAAGGTGCACATTGATATGACACTTCACTACTATCATCCCGACTTAATTACCTTATAACTAGTTACAATATAATGCTTCACCACCATTATCAATGTTCGAAATGTAATTACTGTAACTCCGTTGATAATAATTTCCACACTGAACCGCCAGCTGGGTCCACTGAGGCTTGTGGTGACACCTGCACACTTCCTGGCCACAGGACCAGACGTATACAAGATGGATACCGACCCCAGGGGATACGTTTGTGTACTCAACTATAGCTCCTTTAAGGACCGACCCGACTTAGTCCTTGACGGCTCACACTCAGATGTCAACAACCTAGCAAATGCCTTCGGCAAAATGGGATACACTGGACATGCGTATTCGACCTTGACAGCAGACCAGACCAAACAAGTGCTGACCAGAGTGAGGGACCTGGATGTGCTGGACCAAGTTGGCTGTGGTATTTTTATTATTTCCAGTCATGGCATTGGAAACGAAAAGTTCTTAACTAGTGACATGAAGTTACTGACAACCGAATGGATATGTGACCTCTTTAAAGACTCAGAATGTCCCCGACTGAAAAATAAACCCAAATTGTTTATCTTTGACTTAAGTTGTGGTTACTATAGGGACGAGACTCGTCAACAAGAGAACACAGTCAAGCGTAGGAGGGTTGAAGAACCTCTGCAGGATACTATGTGCCTTTACTCGAGCGATGGAGGCTTTACGTCTTACACCTTCACCAAGGAAGGGACTCCCTTCATCACGGCCTTGTGTCGTTGCCTGGCGCACCATGCTCACCACATGGAGTTTGGTGACTTGTACAGGGAGTTCCTTAAGGAGTACAGTAAGACTATCTTACCCTCTACGCCACAGCTCCATAATTTTGGTTTCAACAAGAAGTTCTACTTTAACCCTGGGAGAACACTGAACCAATAAATAACACCAAGGAAGTGATTAAACCATCGTGATTTGACCTTACCAATGAAGATACTGTATACTGTACATACTTAAGCACCTTAGTAATATATGTTAACAGTCTCAAATATCGTGATGTGATTGTTTTTCTTCAGCATTACAGAATATTTGGGAAATAAGACCTGGCAGCATGAATTTATTTTGCAGCATAGTTTAATGAAAACGTAATGAACGACCCCATAATGCTGAAATTGTTATATTATTAACAATACTCATTGTTATGAAATTGTAGCTGTGAAAATAAATGTTATGTTGTATTTTATAACACAATTAAAGAATTTTAACGCTGCTGGGCGTCTAGTCACTATTTTATCTTAGTTTCTACGAACTAAATTTAAAAAGATTGCAATGCATTTCTTATCACCCTTACGACTTTAATACACCTGGAAGCAAGATACAGGCAATGTACTGTACAGTATGTGTAAACTAATAAATTATAGTGTATGTGTCAACAGCCTATACTAGACTCAGCATATGTTCAATATTTGCTGAGCGGTAGAT